TTCGCAATTTTTAATTGGCCAGCAATGAGATACGCCCATTGTGCTCTGCAATCTACAACTATCTCTTAAGTGGAAAAGAGATTAAGTAGTAAAATGAAAGCAATAATTGACATAGCACTGCTTGAACTTATGTCAGTGGAAACAGAAGTAGCTCACTTTTGGATTTTTCTCATCTGAAATGGACTAGTTTTGTCGGAATATTCTTCACAAAGTGTATAATCGCTTATCGTCAAAAGGTGTGACGCATTTCAACTTACCGTTAACAAACAGCTTTTTAAAAATATGGGTCACTTAACAAATGGATTGTACAAATAAGCAGGAGCCACTCATAAGTCATTGATAAAGTTCGCCACATCTCGCCATTGCTATGCGCAAGCAACTGCTTTGGGCCACTTCCTAAGCAAAATCCTCCGCTTAAGAACTCTCCAACGGGAAAAAGCTTTCCCAAATCACTTCAAATCTGACATCGTAACGTCTTTTTAATTACACAACACGTATCACTATTAGATCATGATAAATACTACTCGGAATGCAAGTGAAACAAAATAAAATCTCCTCATTGATTCCAATCAAAAATTCACATATCGCCAATGTGATGCATGTAAGCACTCAAGAGTAAATGCACTACCAGCATTTCCATCGACATTTCCGTTCTCATCACCATCGCCGTGCTCTAGCTGAGTGGTAGATGAATGTGCAGAGAGAAAGGCATTGGCCTCATCACTCCGCCAGTTGGTGCAGAGAGAAGTCATATCAGTGGAAGCGAGAGTCTTGGCCTGACGACGCACACTACACACAAAGTGGAAGCGGCGCGGATTCTGCAAAGCCAACTGCAGCTGCGCCTGCATTGCTGCGATGTCCGCCAATTCGTGCAACCAGGCGTGGCGGGCGGCCGGCCTCGGTGCCAGGGTCTAGGATGAAGACCACTTCGCTGCAAGCTGACTCATCTGCCACCGCGAACCACAGACGGTCAGGCGCACAACACCCGACTGAAGCCGTTGCCTTGCACGTGCTCTCCAGCACTGCGCTTTCTGACATAGGGTGCCCCGCTTCCACGTTGGAGGAGGTAGTATTGGTGTTGGTGGTGTTGGTGGTGGTGGTGGTGGTGGTGGTGCTGGTGGTGGTGGTGGTGGTGGTGGTGGTGGAGGTGTCTTTGGTGGCAGACATCTTGGAAACAGCAGCTTTGTGCGGTATTGTGGAGCCCACGTCGGGAGAGTCGAGGTGCTTCATATTTGGGGATAGCCAATAGGGCTAAGGGTTGAAAAGCTTGCACAATTAAATGTGTATTTGCTGGAACAACTCAGAGGTACAAAGCAATGACAAGAGCAATTAATAATCGTGTAGAATGGACTATGAAAATTAAAGTTCTTTTAAACCAC